GAAAAGAAGCACAGCCACTGCTTGCTGAACACCTTACTGTGCTTTGGGCACTTCCTGTATAGTCGCTTCAATCCAGTGTGTGTTTGGTATTACATTTTATCATCATAGTTCGTAGGACAACCAGTATTTGTACCCACGTACAAATATTTTTGGGCTTCAAAATTTTTATTAGGCTACTAAGTTAATAAGATAAATAATACTCTCCTTGCTCTGCTGTGATACAGAAATTGTTGAAATCCAGGAAAAATACAAAGGGAAACTTGATTTAATTTCCGGTGGAGAAGCAATGTTTTAAGAAAGATTGTTGTAGAAAGGCAACAACTTACTGAGCTTTTGGTGACACTCTTCATGCAGAGCAGATTATAGGAGAAGATGGAGGTGGCACTGGGAGTAGGGTACACATGTACATAGTTAACCATCACTTACTTGGGTCTTTGTGTCTTGAGTGGTTCCTAAGTCTTTGAATATTTGAAGATACATATTTCTTGAATCTCATTTTTTTCTTTCTAAGAGTTCTGAAATTACTCCCTCCCTATATCTCAGCTAATAATTTCTAGACCTCCCTCTCTTCATCAAAGACTTCCTTACCTTCTCAAGTGTTCTCTGCTCCTGCCTTTAGTGGAGTGCATGCTCTGGGACCGTCTCGAAAATAGTCTCAGGAGGCAAGGGCTTGGCTGCCTTTTCTATCTGAAACAGAAACTGTGTTCGACCCAGTGGAAGCGTGGACGCTAATTTAGGTGTGGCTTCAGTAAAGCGCCATTTTGGAACTTTGGAGTTACGTTGACTTCCAGCTTTGTTGAAAAGACTAATGCCATTCAGATTCTGAAAAGCTATAAGCGAAGAAGGCCTGGGTTTTAGAGATTTTAGTTTGACTGTCTTTTTTTCTTCTTGAATATTTTAATTTTTTAAAAAGTCTTGCTTTTTAATTTCACAGTAATGTACTTTGACATGGCTACCTGTCTTGATTTATTTTTACAGTTTTTCATTCTGAATACTGATTAGCTATAGTTTGGGAAAATATGTTAGATTTCCTCTTTCCTCACCTGAGCTGATCTTATTTTATTATCTGCCTTTCTTGAATCTTGGTCCTACTTCCTGGGAGTCTGAAAAGGCTGCGCAAAGTTGTGGAACCAGGAGGGCTGTTGGGGTACTTTTGTGGCCAGTTCCTAGCTATAGCCATGTTCTTAGCTCATCTGCTTTTATCTTTAAGATATTAAGACTAAATTCAAAGTGTGCAGGGGTAAATTGATATATTCAAAGTATCTAGATAATTTTCTCATACATTGTAAATATTAATTATTATTAATTGACGACTTAAGTCAAGAGCCCATAATTCTATGTGAATTTTTAATTTCTGTATTTTTTTTAGCTTTGTGTGTGTGTGTGTGTGTGTGTGTGTGTGTGTGTGTGTGATGTGTATTCAAGTCACATATGCCATGGTGTTTGTAGGTGTCCAAGGACAGCTCCATGGAGTCTGTTCTCTCCATAGACTTTTACCTTAACCTGCTGAGTCATCTTGGCAGCCCTAATTCCTTTCTTCCATTTCTCTCTCACTGTTTTCTAGCCTCTCATTCTTGTTTCATGGATGCAGTGCTATCTTGAATTATCACTGGATAATTAAGAACAAATCGGCCCTCCTGGGGGGATCATTAACATAATAAGATGGAAGTCAAACAAAGTAACTTGTAACAACCCACGTTTTTAGTGCAGGGGTCAGGATTTGAACTGTTTGTTTCCTTCTGTTTTCTGGATTAACATTTGTATTATTTTGAGGTCTCTTGAATGTTAAAGGCTTTTTTCTAAATTCCTCATGATTATATCCTAATTATTTTCGACAGGAATATACATAGGTGTATCTTGTCCTCTGTATATCACACCAAGGAGTGCTTGGTGCTGTTTAGAAATTTTGCCCATTTTAAAAACTGCAGTGTTTAGCTTTATTCATTGATTTTTAAGAGTTCTTTGTATGGTAAAGATACTGCCCATTTGCTTTTGATAGATAATGCAAATATTGTTTGTCTGCATTCTTTTGAACTTGTTTCTGGTGTATTTCTCTATGATAAGGTTTTTTTTTTTCTTTCTTTTGTTGCATCTTACCTAATAGAAAGGTTCCTTTAAAACCCTGATTGACTGTTTTATATGTAAGGTAGGGCTTATAATAGATAAGAACGCTTGGTGTTTGGGTTTTCTCAATAGATGTATATAGGTAAAGCCTGTGGAGAGAGGGTTCTTTTTCAATGCTAGACTTTTCTTTATCCTGTTCTCTTCTTTTTTCCACTGTCCTAGTTTGGTCTTCTGTCCCTGTGACAAGCCCTGCGACCAAAGGCAGTTGGGGAGTACAGGGTTTGTCTCAGCTCACAGACTACAGTTCATTGTCGAAGGAAACTGAGGCAGAATCTCAAAAGTAGGAGCTTGAAGTAGAAACCTCAGAGGAATGCTGCACCTGGGCTTGCTCAGCTGCCTTCCTTGTTCCAGGCCAGTGAGGAGCAGGCCGGTCTGATGGGAGCAGTTCTTCAGCTGAGGTGCCCTCTGAACAGGGGACTAGGTTGGCAGGGGAGGCTCACTCTGACACCCACAGCCTAGTAGAAATATTTGAGTTCTTTCTCCATAGTAACCCCACCCCCACCCCACCGTGTTGTTGGTATTGGTTTCTAAACACTTGAAAAAGTGCAGAGCAGACAGTGTTCTGGGCTCACTGGCTGTGCTCCCTACCCGGATGTGAGGCACTGTTGCTCCAAGGAGCTCTTTCTGGTGTAGAAGTGACTCAGAAACCTCAGGTTTTCAGATGTTGCTTGGTGCTGCATGCCTTGAACCCTGAAAGCTTGTGGCAATAGTTTAGCCTCATGAATTAATATTAGGAAAGTCATGGGGCATCCTTGTCCTCCATCTTGGCCTTTGAGGATTAGGAAGTGAGACTTTGCTGCCTTCATAGCACTGAAGACACGGCCTTAGCAATCTTGTCAACTCACTCGTGGACTTTCTTACTCTTGCTGCTGACTTATATCAAGTTCATTTCTCCTTTTTGAAGTTTTATTCACTCTCAGTTTAGGGAATTTTGAGAAGTGGAAAGAAACAAGTACAACCAGTGCTCTTAACTGCTGAGCCATCTATCTCTCCAACTCCAATAAATAAAGCTTTTTTAGTTTTTTTTTTTTCAGACTGTTTCACTTAGGGAAACAGAATTTTGAATAAATAGTAAGGGAACTCTTTCCTGCTATATTAGTTTCATAGGAGCTATGATTCTAATCTGACTTGTCAGGTTGCCTGTGATTTTGCTCTCACAGTTGAGAGAAAACTGTTCTTTAAGAACTGGTACATCCTAGAAGTAGGTGTAGAAGGTTCCTTTCCTCACTGGTTGCTCATCTCCCAGAGTGCTACTACTTCTGTCTACACATCTGCTCCATGACCAGAGGCCTCCTTTCCTCTACTTGCCCTGGTTTCTGTCTTCTCAATTCAGCTTACGTCTGAGCCCCCTTGAATATTCCAGACTGTGTCTTTGTAAGTGAGATAGGTAACATTCTCCCATTAGTGTGCTAGTTTGATTTCAGTAGAGCACTTCGGGCAAATATTAGTCCACATTGAATATTACATGGAAGAATCTAGCATTTAAGTATCAAAATTGACTGCAAGTGCCTCTCTTGGTTTGTTGCTATTTTTAATTTGCATTAGGACTTAGTATGGTGTGGCAGAAAGGCCGTTTCAGTCAGTTCTTCATTATTGTAATGAAGTATCCAAGCACAACCGATCTCATAATGTTGCTTTAGCTCACATTTCTGGAGGCTTATGGACTTGGTACTGGTATCACTTTGGCACTGACAAAGGCCTCATGGTGGTTGGCACCACAGTGGCAGGTGTGGGATGAAGATGAGGTTATGGAGGTAAGGGATTACTTTGTCAGACAAGAAACCAGGGAGCCATTAAATGCTCAGGCTGAGACTTGCATAGCAACTTAGTGTTGGGGAATCCCATAAGAGCTGCTTTTCATTTTTTGGAGCATGTGACCTGACAACCACATACTGGAGCCTCATTTGAAAGGATTGCACTTCCAACAAGTTGGTGATGAAGCTTTGAACATAAGAACTCTTGAGGTGTAAACACAAGCCATCTCCAAGTGTGCAACTGGTAATGCAGGCCTCAGGAGTCTTAGATGATAGACCTGCTTTGCTGTTCTCAAAGCTTTTACGTTCTTTATCAGTGTGTGTTTAAAATAGTGGATTGGAGAGAATAGTGCTAAGGGATTATCATAGTTACTTTTCTATTGATGTGAAGTGACACCATGACTAGGACAACATATAGAAGAAAGAGTTTGTTAGGGCTTACTGTTTGAATAAGTCCATTGACCATGGTGGGGAACCTGACAGCAGTAGGCAGGCATAGCACTGCAGCAGTAGGCAAGACCTTACATGCCAAGGCGACAACCTCAAGGCAGAGAGCTGGCTAGGAAAGGCATGGACTTTTGAAACCTTAAAGCCACCCTCAGCGTCACACATTCTCAATAAGGCTACACCTACTAATCCTTCCCAAACAGTTGTACCAACTGGGGACCACACGTTCAAACATAAGCTCATGGGGAACAGCCTCATTCCAGTCATCACTGGTACTGTATAGCTATAAAGAATGTTATCAAATTGGTAAAGATAATTTTCACAAAGATGATCAGTATAGGAAGCTATTCTAACATGAAATAACCTAGAGAAAGTGTGTATTTTTGAAAAATCAGAATAATAGTAATAGGACTAGATAAGGGGATTTATGATGGGGCTCCCTCTTCTCATTTGACTTGATTTTTAAGATAATGGGATGATATTCATACACTGGTTTAAATTGTATTGATTTCTAGTCACAAATCTTTTTCCCCAAAATTGAATTGTAATAAGTACTGTAATGTATTATTTAAGTCTTAATATTGAAGTTTTAAATGCTTTTAGTCTTCCATGACTTACAAACTATAGTTTGATATTCAGAATAGTTAAATAACCTGGGTTTCTTTTATGTTTTAGGGTTTAAGTGCCCGGTATGCTCAAAATTTGTACCCTCAGATGAAATGGATTTGCATCTTGTGATGTGTTTAACAAAGCCAAGAATAACCTATAATGGTAAGTCTATGCCTTAAAATAATATTGTAATTAGTATTGCCATAAATAATGTGAATTTCATGTTTGAAGCAAAATTTAAGTGGCTGGGAAGGATTCAAATTCTCATCTGAAGATAACTTTGTATGTGTTTTAAAAATAGGTTAATTAGTTTATACCTATTAATAAGTGAAAATAATAAATTTCCAAGACATTTAATGACAGGAGTGGCATTGTTTTTTGTTTTTGTTTGTTTGTTTGTTTAAAAAAAACTCGTATTACCTGGCTTAATGACAGAGAATGATTTCTTCTACAGTTAGGTTGGGTTTTCTCTCTCTCTCGTGTGTGTGTGTGTGTGTGTGTGTGTGTGTAGTAAGATACATCAGATATCCTGGAAAATTCCACTGGAACAGAGGAGAGAATAGGAATGAAAAAGACAGATGATGCTACCATAAAAGTAGCGCTGGCTTTGTTCAGTGAAAAGGACGGCCAGGCCTCCCTCACTTCTCTACTCCAGAAGATTGCTGCATTGCACTTGAGAACTGTGGTGCTGACTAAAAGTTTTAGTAGGCCTAAAGAAAAAGTAGTGTTCATTAAAAAGTTGTGTTTAAGAATATATAATAAGTGAAGGACTGGAGAGATTTCTCAGTGGTCAAGAACATTTCCCAGCACCCACGTGGTAGCTCACAACTCTGGAACTCCAGATCCAGGGGCCCTAACACCCTCTTCTGGCCTCTGTAGTCACTGCACACATGTGGTACACAGGCATACATACAGGTAAAGCACCTATACACATAAGTCATTCTTAAGCAAATCTGTAATTAATGATACATTGTTAACAGAAGGGATAAATACAGTAGATAGACAACTAATGGAAGAAAACAAATGTTGGAAGTGGAGACCGGAACTTTAATGTCACCATTATCTGTCTCTTTGAACCCACAGAGAAATTTCATTCTTGCGCTAATTGGCAGTTGCTTTAGGTATGGTATGTTGAACCAGGGTTTTCTCTCCTTACCCTAGTAATACAGTCTTCAGTGTCATCATAGAACAAATTCAGGAATTAAAAATCAAATAGTTCTAGTTAATAGAAAAACAAACTTCAGTTGGGTTTTGTGGTGTTTGCCTATAAATAACTTTAGCATAGCCAAGACTGATGCCACCCTGGGCTATTTATGTAGTAAGACTCTGTCTCTTGATGCAAAGAAATAGGTAGAGGAACTTCGTGCATACCTAAATGCCACTAAGAAAAGAAAAAAAGACATTTGAGACTTAGATATGAAGTGAATGGTGAGAATACTAGTAAATGGCAAAATCTATTGGCAGATGGTTTATCAACCATCTTTTGGGTCCTTATATATAAGATACTGTGCTAAGTGCTATGATCCAGTAAATGAGACAGGTGGGGCTTAAGGCCTCTCAAAGAGTTAATGAGATGAATATATTCTTGTGATAACTTTGTCAAGTGATTTAGGAAGGTAGCGTCTCTAGCCTTAGTATCAACCGTGGTGACAAGCATTTCATTCATTAACCGGTATATCAGTGGAAATAGCTCCTAGCAATTACTTTTAATAGCAAATGTATTGGTTATGTTGTAACCTTTTGCCTTATGAAATTGTCTTTACATAATCTAGTTGAAATTCAGTTACTTAAAATTCTCATTCAAGTTCAGAATTTGAGGCTAAAAGTGATAATTTTGTCTCTGTACTTGCTTCATTGTTCTGCCATTATACTTCATAATGATGTTTATGATATATATTCATAAAATAACTGCCCTTTAATGTTAACCCCTGGCTTTTAAAAATTGCAACTACATTTCATTGAATTAAAAAGCATAATAGATTTGCGCATGATCATAGTATTCTGTAATTTAATTTTTTAATATCCAGAACACTGCAAAAATATTGTGATATTTGGCAGCTTTTTATTTCCGGATTTAATGTGTTTAGGTTATTAAGCTCGTCTGCTAGGCTGTCTCAAAGTCTAACTAAATACAGTGGCTCTTGTCTTGGTGTGTGCTAAGCCAGTGAGCACAGCCCAAAGATGCAGAATGGAGAGAGGCTTATAGCTGCAGCAATCAAGAAACGGATTAGGGCTCTTACCAAGGCCTTGTCTTCTTGTGGTGTGGGGTCTCCTGATGACTCTGGCCTTAGTGAGAACTCTTAAATCTTCCTGTAGAGTTTTAACTGGGGGCGGGGGTGACAAAACCCCTTGAAACGTTTGTTAGCAGTGTTTTTAAAAAATAGCAGGCTTCTCCTCAAGTGTTGTTTGTTCCTAATGCTTACAGTACTCATTAGTAGTTATTGACAACAACAACAACACACACACACACATACACACACTGCTCTGCTAGTGATAAAGCCATTCTGAAAAATAACTAGGCCTGGGTCTTTCAATAAAAATTTACAGCAAGAAGCAAATATTTCATAAATTTTATGTAGTTTTCAATTTATTTATTTATTTATTTATTAAAGATTTCTGCCTCCTCCCCTCCACCGCCTCCCATATCCCTCCCCCTCCCCGTGGTTTTCAATTTTAAAACTAGTCTGAGGGCTGTGATGACACAGAGGTGAATGAAGAAGGGATCTTTGGCTGTACATCGTGATCTAGGGCTTACAGAAAAGTGGCACCTTGATAAGTTCTTCTCTGTCTCAGGTGTAGGAGGAGGCCACTTATTCATCCTGTCCGCCCAGAACCAAAATAACCACATGGAAACTATATTGATTAAATCACTGCTTGGCCTATTAGCTCTAGCTTCTTATTGGCTAACTAGTACATATTAATTTAACCCATTTCTAGTAATCTATGTATGTGTGTATTGCCATGTGGCTGTGGCTTATCAGCTAAAGTTCCCAGTGTTTGTCTCTGGCAGGCTACATGGCTTCTCTCTGACTCCACCTTTCTTTCTTCCAGCATTCAGTTTAGTTTTCCCTGCCTACCTAAGTTCTGCCCTGCTATAAGTCCAAAGCAGTTTCTTTGTTCATAAATGGTAATCACAGTATACAGAAGGAAATCCCACATTATTTGGGCTTGGGGAATCATAATTGTGTTAAAGGAAGAGCCCCAGAATATCACTTACCATGTTGAATCTGATTGGAGGTGGCCTTTTTAATGCCTGAGTATTAAACATAGCATCTGTTATGTTACCTGTTATCACAAAGTTTAGACTAGGTGACACAGAAATCTGAAGTCTTTTTGGTCACATGACTCTTTATAGCTTTGGGTTTGAATTCCTAAATGTTGACACCAACTCAACTAGATTGGGCCTCTAAATCATGTTAGTGCTTAAACAAGAACTCTCGTTCAATGGGAAATACTTAGTAACTTGTATCTTGTGCAGACTTCCAGAAGTAGCTCGATCTGAAAATTTGAAATTTTTTGTGAAGTATCTGTTAACTACCTATAAAAATTCAGTTAGAATTGTCGGTCTTACTTTCAGACTACTCTATTTATAGAGGAACTCTTAGAGAGGGTGAGTTCCAGACATCTGAATGTAAGCTGATGACTCAGAGCTTGAGATTCATCCCACAGAGACACTACATGTTTCTATTACGGAACCCGGTCTGTCTGCATTTGATTGGGTTCGGAGAATCAGTGTTCTTAGTGTCAAGGTTTATTCCTACTGTTGGGGTTAAGAGTGACGGTTTTCCATGCTAACTGTAGTTGGTTTTGTGGTTAGCATTTCAGTGACTGTGACAGAAATATTCAGACAGGCAGCTAAGATGGTTGATTTTTGACCCCTGCTTTCAGGTCACGTTCTTTGGTTCCATTGCTTTGGCCCTGGTGAGATAGGCGTGTATAACAGAGGAAATGTATTCCTCTTTCTTGGTGACCAGAAAGCAGAGAGTGCAAGAGAAGATGGAACAGTGGTTCTTGAAAAGTATGTGTATGTTGACTCCCTTCTCACCTACATAGCACAACAGCGTGGGAACTGGCACTCAGCCAGTCGACATTCAGAACCAGATCTAATACTGGCTTCATTGGGTCTTGATTTTGTGGGCATGTGTCACCTGAACATGAATTGTTCCCAAGTGTTCTGTGTCTTCCTCTTCCTGAATTGCTTGTAAGCTTTCTTAGGATAACTTTGACACTGGGGCATGCTGCTTTTTCTCACTTAGCGTTAACCTGCTGAATGAGCGATTGCTTTGAGCTTCAGTAATGGGTATGCCATTTTCTTCTCTTTTAAAACAAAACGCAGCTATTTATTAAATTTATTTAGGTTTGTTTTTGAAACAGAATCTTTAACCCAGGCTGGCCTCAAACTTACTTATAAACTTCTTGTCTTGGCCTCCCCAAGTGCTGAGATTCTGAGCTTTTTCTTTTTTGTTTGTTGTTAGATTGTGTTGATAGTTTTTTTTCTAATGGTCTAATTGAGTTGAATTAGTTTCTGGTATTGCTGGGTTTTTACCTTTCAACCTATATATTTAATAACATTACTACTGAGGTTACATACAGGCAAAGATTATGACTCAGAGACTGGTCGTTTGCACTGAAGTCTGTAATTCAGGAAGTGCTACAGATTCATCAGCCATGACACAACGGTGAAACCATCCGCTCTTAAAGACGACCGACAGGGTCATCAGTCTGGTCTAGTTATCACTTCCTCAGTGTATTCTGGGAATTTTGTTTGAAAATAATCCTTTTCTATACTTAAGTGTGGTGGAGCAGTTATGTAATGATAGCACCCAGGAGGTAGGTGGCAGGAGAAGGAGGACTGTGGGCCAGCCTGTCTATATGAGACACTTCTTCAGCTACTCAACATGATAAGTAATAATATTTTTCTCTAAATTTTATATTTCATTGGTATAACATTTCACATGGTATTTTCTCACAGTTGTATTTTTCATCATAATATATGTTTTGGTAGTTTAGGCAAGCTAAATATTTAAATGGTATTTTCAAAAACAATAATAGTTTTAAATAAAGCTAAATTTTATTAATGCTAAGCACTTAATAGCTTATTTTTCATTTTCTATATTATAATAATAAACATTTTAAGAATAACTTTTTAATAGCTTTACCAA